ACTACATGCGTCTCTGTTGCACTGCGCAGGTCGCAGCTGTGCGTTTCAAGTCCAGTTTACATTATCTCCGCTCCGCTCCGACAGATGTGCAGGAAGCAGATCGCACGATAAATTCAGTGATAAGTGTGGAAGTCACAGCTGAAAATAATTAATTCTGCGAAAGATAAACTCCAAACACAGCTGAAAACAACGATATAAAGGTTTCTGGTATCTATGTTGAAACTGTCTCGCTGTCGTCTTTCTGAAACTTCTGATTTCAAAATAAAATCCACGTGTTTCGTGTGTGTGCACATGTGCTTCATGCTACATGTTTCAATCTGCTTCCCAAACAGAACCATACATTCTGACAGCATTTGTGTAGAAATATATCTGTATATTTATTAATATAGATGCGATTTCGACGTTTTTCCAACAAATTATCCAGCCTAAAAGTGTCTTATTTTGAAAATACGGATGTTGTGCTAGTTTCATTTCCTGTTGGTGCGACGTAATCTTTAAAAACTGACTCCGGCGCAGCTCCGGCATCCGGCAAAAATAGGATCTGTTCTAATTTTGACGGATCGCCATCCGCTCACTGCCGCCCTGTGCAGCCGTGTGCAGCCAGTGTAAACACTCTCACTGGTTATAATGGGTGTGTGTTTGCTGTGGAGGTCGGACTGGAGCAGAGCGGAGCCAGAACACATGTAGTGTAAATTAGCGGTTAGAGACACGTCCCAGAGGTGTTTCTGGTACCAAAAGGTGTTTCTGGTCCCCACCTGTCGTTTTGCTCCTCAGCATGGCTTCATAAAAACACTGCAGGATTTCTCAAACATGATGAATGAGTCAGAGCAAGGCTTTGGACATGTTTTTATGACAGTATAACATTATAAGATGATATAAAACTCAAAAAAGTTGATTTTACATGATATTGCCCCTTTAAAATCCATCCAGCGGGTCAAGAGATACTCGTTCTAACTGATGTGGTAGTTTTAACAGTGTTCTAACAGCTGCTGTTCTCCCACACAGGAAGTGGAACCTCGTGTGTGACCTCACATTTATCCTGAGCAGCAGAGAGCCTGAGAGATTCGTGTTCTGATCCGTTAAATCAGCACAGGGCCCCCTGAAACAACATCTGCAGGCAATCTCAACAAATCCTSCCCCCGGCCTCACAGTGCCATCCGAGGCCCGCGGGTCACCGCCTCCCGCTTCAGAACATGCACACGGACCAGCGTGGAAAAGCAGATCACATGTCGTGTGTCACGGGTCGCAGCCTCGCTCCCTGGAAATACAGCCTTGTCCAAGCAGGTCAAAGGTCACACAAGAGGATGCAGACACATCACAGAGTTCAGATTTAACAAAAAAAACTTTCTCTGAGAAACTACAGCAGGAAATCTGAGTGCTGAGTTCTTACTGACTAAATGAGCAAACTGCAAGCTAAAAATCTGCTAGCTTAAAGCTAAAAATATCACAATGCTGGCTAAAAGTTGCAAAGTATGAACTAAAATCAAAAGTGGCAGAGCTCAGAGGAGTTAGCTGGACGGGTTGTGAGGAGCTGCAGAGACCAGCAGGTGGCACAGTTTAGAAGAAAGAATTAAAAACAAGCTCCTCTGTTTTCACTTCCTCCATTCATGAGGAAAAGCTGCACCAGAAATCCGTTTGAGAGCTTTATAATCAGCTAAATCTGAAGCCTGTTGATAAACATCAGCTGAATTTCAGCCGTATGTTGCAGTGAAGCAGAAATATAATTTTAATGATGATTTTTCAGGATCGACAGCAGCATTTAGTTTTTAGATACTCAGGCCAGTTTTAGCTACATGTTCTGCAACATTTAGCTTTTAGMTACAGCTTAGATGATTTCAGATTTTAGCTATTGAGATATTGGTTCAATAAAAAAATACCTGTTGAATGTCGCAGTTACGACGCAAGTCGATGATGTAATCTGTACTGTCACAATTCTCAATTGTTTTGCACTCTGTAACCTGCTCACTGTAACCTGCTCACTGTAACCTGCACTCTGTAACCTGCACTCTGTAACCTGCTCACTGTAACCTGCTCACTGTAGCCTGCACTCTGTAACCTGCACTCTGTAGCCTGCACTCTGTAGCCTGCACTCTGTAGCCTGCACTCTGTAACCTGCACTCTGTAACCTGCTCACTGTAGCCTGCACTCTGTAGCCTGCACACTGTAACCTGCACTCTGTAACCTGCACTCTGTAACCTGCTCACTGTAGCCTGCACTCTGTAGCCTGCACACTGTAACCTGCA